CTCGTCGGCGGCAACCCTATCCACCCCTCTCCCCCGTCGTCTCCCTGCAAGGATGGGTTTCTTCTCCAGCAAAGACAAGGGCAAGGACCCTGCCACCCCTCTCCCCCGCCCCGCCTCCGCCTGCGTCTTCTCGCCGGCTGAGGCAGTGCGCGAGCGTCCTAGTGCACCAGACGAAGTGACACTGGGAGAACCGCGTCCCTCTCCCCTACCTCAATGTCACTCTGCCTCCGGAGAGGATCCCAGTGCCGGTGGTGCCGCGGTGGGCGAGGGTGCACACGGAGGAGGTGTGGCGCCAGCGGGTGCTGCTGACGGCGGAGCAGCGCCGTGACTCCGCCTACGACGTCGACTCGCCTTATTGGGCGCGTTGATTCGCCTCCGAGCACGAGGAGGCCAGGCGGCACGGCGTCCACGTCGTCTCGCATGGCTCCCCGTCGACGCCCTCGTCGTTCGCGACGAGGACCAGGCGACTGTCCTCCGAGAGAGCGAGGAGGAGGAGCAGCGCAAGGAGGAGGAGGAGGACGAGGCGCGCATGGCGGAGGCCATGGCGCTGTCCGCGGCCGACGACTACATCGTGCCACCGCTGGCCCCGCCGTCCCTGCCAGGGCTGAGCCGGAGCCGACCCCCATCGAGCGCTATTCCTGGACCGGGGTAGTGCGCGAGTGGGTCAACATGCCGCCGATCTGGATGCGGGCGATGGAGGGGCAGGAGCGCGCCTACCCCGAGCAATGGCGCCAGCGAAGGCTGGCCGAGGAGCGTCGCGAGGGCGAGTACCTCGAAATGCTTGAACGCGACGCCGAGGAGGAGCGCCGCGAGGTAGAGAAGGAGGCGCGCCGTGCCCACCCCGAGGCGGCACAGCCCCCGGCGGACGACATCGCCAGACTCTGGAATATGGCGGTCCTCTGGGCCGGCCCGGCGCCGACACTGATCGACCTCACTAGCCCCGACGGCGACGAAGACGACGCCTAAGGTAGCATGCCGCCTCGTAGTTTAGTTTTAATTAATGTTTTAGTTGATGTAATGTGGACGCGTGGACTCTCGCCGGCCTTTCTGGCCGGCATTAATGTTTAATTAATATCTTTCTATTTTTGAAATAATTGTGGTCTATTTTTTTCACGTGAACTAAAAATTGGATCGCGTCAGCGTTGGGCGCGTGCAACGGACAAAAAGCGGACAGAATGGCCGTCCGTTTGGGTCGGCACGCGTTGGAGTTGCTCTCACTAAACCGAAATTGCGTGAAAAATCTTAATCAAACACACACAGCCCAGCGTCCGAGCTCCATGCCATTGCTTGTGATTGATTTGGTGGTCAAAGGAGAGGCCAGACCACTTTCAGCCCCGTCTTCCCGAAGCGGCAATGGATGGAGAGCTCTTTACCCGGTGCAGTACCCGGGCTTCCTTATGTGGCTTCGGTCCACCTGCTCGTCCTTGCCCCGGCCACAGAGGGAATCTCGCCGGCCGGCACACATCTCCCTAATGCCCATCCACCCGTCTCCATCCCAATAATGCACCCTTCGTCTCTGTCTCAGTAGTGCTAGCAGCTCCGTCCCTGACATCTCTCCCAGCCGGCTCTGCGCCACGGCATTCCCGTCCGGCCGCCGCCAACGCGCGCCTCCGGCGATTGTGTGCCGGTAAGTCCCCGCCCCTGTATGCCTAATCCATGTGCGTAGTCACTACTCAGTAGCAGGAAGGTTACCCAGTCACCGTAGCAAATCGATCGACCAGGACCTGGCCTGCAGTTCAAACCATGGATGACCATGGCATGGCACCGCTCCTCACTGACAGAGGACGCGCCGTGAGCGCCCCCGCGCGTGCTCCCCTGCCCCCTTCTCCAACCCTTCTCCGCCCGCACTTCAGATCTAGGCATCTAGCCCATACACATGTATCGTGCCCTTGCCAAGTCGCCGGCTTTGGTGCCCTTGCCAAGTCGCCGGCTTTGCCATGTCAGTAGAAGCTAGCTAGCAAGCACAAGCTGCTACACCCTAGCCTAGATAGTCGCTGGAGTAGTACAGATGTTGTCGGGCCATGGGCAAGGTGTCCGCCTCTTCAATCTCTTTGCAACCAAATGAAGCATTCGCTGCTTTTCGCTAACCACGACATGCATGGTGTCCGAACAAGGAGTTACCAGGAGGTTACATCTGCTAATTAATCAGAAACATAGTGTCTAATTCTTCCGATCCTTCCTGTTTTCCCATCCATGCATGAAACAGATAGACACCTCACCTGAATTCAATAGATATCTGTATGTACACTACTTTTACTACTAATTGTACGTACATCATTCATGGATGCTAATTTGATGCATCGGTTGTTTGCTACTTCTGGTTTTGTTACAGGTTCACACACGCAGACGCAGACATGGCTGGTGGGGTTGAATCTCAGTGGTCCATACGTGTGTTTGAAAGATTTGAGCGTTCTGTGGTGCGACTGAACCATGGAGGTCTTTTTCTTGGCACCGGCTTCGTTGTTTACTGGGACGAGTCCCGGGCGTGCCTCATAATAACATGCCATCATGTTGTTTCGCGTGTACCGATGAGTGAAATCCTGGATGCTTACTTCTCTGGGAACACTATACCATCTGCTGTGCGCATAGTTCGTCGCGGCAACGACATCAAAGACCTTGCTTTGCTTTGGGTCCAACGCATGTCTAGCCAAGTCACCAGACCTCCCGTTGTTATGGACTTCTTCCAGCATCCAGTGGCACCGGGATGGGACGTTGTTCTGCTTGGCTATAACGTTTTGCGTAATAATTTTATCCTGGAGCCCTCAACCTGGTCTGGCCGAATCATGTAATTAACCTGCTTATTACTCCTACTATTCAATTCCCTTTTACCTCTGCATGTCATGCCTGGGTTGAGCTAGCTAATTGTTGTCTGTTTAATGCAGTTCCCCGTCAACCAATACACATATCAAATATAGTTGCACAAGCACTGGAGGCATGTCTGGGTCACCTATTGTCCTGGCAGGAGTAAACAAAGTCGTTGGGGTGCATTTCATGAGCAGTGGATCGACTGGGTATGCGATTTGCACCCAAGCTATAAGAGAATACTTAGAAGAATATTTACACATGGTAAACCCTCAAGTTGGAATACGATTAATTTTGGTAGAACATTAGGGTATAATGATTTTTTTTGCTTATTTATTTCATATATTTGCTATAGGACAACCTATCGATCCATGAGCTGCTTGCCATAGCTGCTGAAGCAACATGAAGCAGTGCAACAGGGTTCGAATCAATGAGAAGTTAGCTAGGTAAATGATGATCTCTTTCCCAAAATGCTCCTTTCCAGCAATAATGGACACTTAGATACTTACTTAGTAGTTCCATTCAATTAATTGCTACTTCGTAGTAGCATTGTAGTAGTTGAGATATTTCTTCCCAATGACTCCTTTGCACTAGGATTGAACTAGAATTTCCTGTTGACTGCTCTTAGGCATATTCATATGCTATTTTTATGGCACAACCAAATAAAATTTTAATTGTGGTACGGTATCAATCCTACGTTTACGTTTTAGCTGATCCCACAAATCAAGGAGTCTTGCATACTTCGCCGCAAAAAAAGGATCGTATACTAATTTAGTTGATGTACCAGCATCTCTTTGCAAGTCAAGAAAATAAGCAAAAACATGCACTCCATTTTGTAAGTTAATATGAGACCTATATAAGTGGTCATGCATATGCCTTGAACATGAGTATAATATATACTTAGCTGTGAAAAAATAGCATCATTATATTCTTACATTGGACTGTACAGTTGTACTTTCATAAAATTTACTCTTTAATTAATCCCAAATTTTATTAGTTTGTACTACCTCCGTTCCTAAATATTTGTCTTTCTAGAGATTTCAAATGGTTACCACATACGGATGTATATAGACATATTTTAGAGTGTAGATTCACTCATTTTGCTCCGTATGTAGTCACTTGTTGAAACCTCTAGAAAGACAAATATTTAGGAACGGATGGAGTACATAACAGCTAGCTCTAGTTTTAATTAGGAATTGAATATACACTGGAATTTTGTTTGTCGTTTTCATGAACATGAAACATGTTTTCTGATCAAATGTACACTTTGGTTTGCAGAGAGCAGCTGGAACACTGGATGTTAGCTTGGGGATGCAATATGAAAGGGGGTTTTGTTTGCAGAGAGCAGCTGGAACACTGGATGCGAACTTGGGGATGCAAGATGAAGGTGATCGGAGATGATCGTGGGTGCAATTTGCACAGCAGCGTAGTTCTAGACTTCCTAGCTAGTTGTAGTAGTATGCTTTATTGTTGAAGACTCTGAAATGCTTAGTTCCTGATAGTTCGTTGGCGTGTGCGCATACATTTCAGATGTTGCTGCAGTTTGGACTTTGGATTATATATGTGGCTATGTTTCCTTAACATGTTAGAGCAAACATGGTTGAACTGCTGTTGACTCGTTTAGCTATATATTGCAGTTCAGTGCCTTCTTTTACGAAATTAGATGGACAGCGCACGTACGTGGCAGGGCCTAGCATACAATGACCTGATAATATATCTCCATGTACAACAATATATGCAATTTTACAGCTGTATGTGGATAGTACATTCTTGACATTCAGCCAAATCATCAAAACAGACAATGTAAACCACAAATTAAGCTGAAATGCCTGCATGCGGTTTTGCCTTCTTGTTGCAACGCCAGGTCAGTCTCTGCCAACAACATAACACATTGTTGGCGGTGTTGGTCGATGCAGAGACTTGATTGAAGAACTGTGCTTTTGCTCATCCTCAGAAATTATAAGATTATTCAGATAACTCGTACAGCTTATTATTCAGATAGATTCTTGAAAAGTACTCCCTCTGGAAAGATTTATAAGACGTTAAAGAATTCGCAGTTCATTTCTCGCGACGCTACGAAATTTCTTGCGTTTCCCATTTTGCCCCTCCGCTCCCACTCACTGTCTCACTCGCAAGCTTCCCCATTCCCTTTTCCCTCGCACCCCCAAATCCCAGCTCGTCGCCTCCCTCGCCTGAGTCGTCGTCATCGCTTGCTCTCCGTCACCTGCGTCGTAGTCGCCGGCTCTCCCTCGTCGTCCTCGCCGGCTCTCCTTCAACATGGCATTTTTATTCACTGGCGGCCGAATCTGAAGCAGCGGGAGGAGCTGCAGTTGGTACTGGTCTGTATGGTGGAGAGGAGTGATTGGAGAAGATGATGGTGATGGATTTTTGGCGGCAGCGAGGAGCAGCGGGAGGAGAAGCTGCTTCAGCGGCGGCGAGGAGCAGAGGGAGGAGAAGCTGCTTCAGCGGCGGCGAGAAGCTCCTCCGACCACCATCTGCTGCTGCTTCTACTTCCCCGACGATGGTGAGTTGCAGTTGCTGCCTGTACTCCATGCTCTTTTGCTTGTACTGCTAGAGTGGTTGTGCTTGTGCTGCTATGTCTTCTGATGCTGCTAGATCATCTCCTACTCAGAGTAGGAGTAAGTCTTCTGGTACTCCATGTTGTACAATTTGTGACTCAGATCTGGGTCACAATATGAGTAGGAGCAGACTACTGTACATGCACTCCACATGGTTCCGTTTTAACTAACCTGGTAGCAGACATTGTATAAAGAAAAGTGAAAATGCAAAGGGAACAAAGAAATAGATCTGGCGGGTAATAATTAGTATTCACTTAGAAGTGATGATCATCACAATACATAAAGTTGCATTGCACGCTTAATGATAGTAGGATTTCTTTTAGGAGTAGTCTACTAAAAGTCTGAAAGTACAGTACTCTACTGAAAGTACTCCTCGTAAGAGTAGTTAGAGTGTTTGCTCAAAGTAGGATTTCATTTAGGAGTATAGTCGAGCAAGTTTACAAGTTGCAGAACAAAATGCTCTACTGAAAGTACTCCTTGTAAGAGTAGTGTGATGCGGTAAATTTACTGTACATTCAGAAATTGAGTAAATTTACAGTAAATTCAGGACTGCAGGAGTACATTCACTGTTTTTTCTCCAAGTGAATAGCATGTGTTTTCCCCATTGGCCATGTGTCATTCTAGAAATAAAATTAGTGCATATCTAATGGTAGTAGATGTGCTTAGCTGAAACTTTAGGAGTGATTTTTGTTAATGTTAACGTTAATGTTAGGAGTGATCTTATGCATTTATAATGTTGGTGATCTTTGTTGCAATGCTTTGATGTTGTTAATTTCGGATGGAACCTGAAATCTGTGTTGGGTTAACAGGTGCATCATCCTAACATTCAGCAGGTTTAAATGTTGCAGATTTACTGAAGATGCGGCTCCTGATCATGTGGGTCGTCAAGATTCTTGATGTGGTTGAAGCTCCTGAAGATGTTGATCATGTGGGTGCTGATCGCATGCTGCTGTGTCTGCCTCTTAGCTGTAAGACAATCATAGTACTTGGAGTATTTTGTTACTCCTTGTGATAGGAATATTGTTCCTTAGAGTATTTGCTTGGAGTATTTTGCTTGGAATACTTGTAGGAACATGGGGTAGACAAACAAACTCTCCTTTACTGTACTATAGCTAAAACAAACTTTCCTTTCCTCTCATCTCCTTTCCTTACCTCTCCAAACACTATCCAAAGAACAACACAACTTGCATATTCCAAAACAAACAACTTTCATAAATTATTCAGAAACTCTCGGAAATTTAAAATTCAAAAACTCGCATAAAATTTTAGAAACTCTCAAAAATTATAAAATTCAGAAACTTGCACAAAATTTTAGAAACTTCCAAAAATTATAAAATTCAGAAACTTGCATAAAATTTCAGAAACTTTCACACTCCATTTCAAATAGCACATATGGAGCACACATTTTAAGCAACACATATGGAGTACACCATTTCAAACTACACAATATGATCCATTTCATACATTCTTACAATACATATGGAGTATAATCCATTTCCACAAACAACTTAAAAACAATATAATCCATTTCGACAAACAAGACTCCATGGATGCATTTCCACAAACAAGTCTCACGATAGCACTACAAGTCTCATCAAAGCACTACAAGTCTCAACATAGCACTACAAGTCTCAACTTGCTACTGTTGTTGTGCTGGTGCTGCTCTTGCTGATAATGCTGCCTGGTATTCATACTGCTGATAATGCTGTTGTTGTTGTATTTTTGCTATTGCTGATAGTGCTGCTAATACTGCTTGCTAATGCTGTTGTTGTTATGTTCTGCTCCTCATCTTGATTAGCTGCTGGTCCTCTTGATCAACTGCTCCTCTTGATCAGTTGTTGTGTTAATGATACTCTTAATGCTTTTGTTGTCGTACTCCTGAGTTCTTGATCTCTTGATGTGGAGTAATTTGAAGTTCTCTTTTGTTGTCCTACTCCTGTACTCTTGATCTTGATCTGGAGTACACCTGATCCTTGATCTGGAGTAATTTGAAGATCTCCTGATGATCTGGTGTTGTGCTATGATGAGAAATTATTGCTGTTGTTCATATGCTGAAAATTCTACTACTGTGATCTGTTGCTGCTCTTGAAGCTACTCTTCTTGATCTTGTACTCTACTGTCAAGCACCTGGATCTTGTACTCAACTGTAGTGGAATTGATTTTGATCTTGTATCTTGCTGATGTGTCGCTTCTCCTGTTTTGCTGATGTGTGTTGCTGAATTGCTTGCCAGGTGTTGCTTTTCCTTGCTCTGGGCGATGCGAGGAGTACCTGGGCGAGGAGCAACTGGGCGCGAGGAGGAGGGCCAGGGTGCGGCGACGACAAGGCTGGGCGCGAGGAGGGGCGCGGCCAGGCGACGGGGATGAGTTCCTGGACGAATGGCTAACGAGGGGGCGAGCGCCTGGATGCTCTCTTTGCATGCTGTTACCATCTCCTAGCAGTATAAACGAATATACAGATTGAGGGCAAAAAAAGAAAAAGAGATATATTTCCATGGCTCCATAAAACGTGAAACACGACGGTACAGGGCAAACATGAAGCGCAGGTAGTCATCGGCGGCGGCCCAGGATGGGGCGCTTCTAGTTGCTGTCACCAGGATGGGGCGCTTCTAGTTGCTGTCACCAGGATGGGGACAATGCAGGACAATAAGTTTGTACATGCAAATACTACTCT